AATCTCTACAACTGTACAATCAGTAATTATACCTAACAAAAATAGCTGAGGGGTAAACTTTATTTTTTTTTAAGAACATTTTGCATAATCCACCATGTTTTTATCCAAAATGCTTTAACCTTTTTGCAAGTCCACCATATGTGAAAATATGTAGCGTCCACACGATCACATCTCCAGCATTTAGGTTGTAAATTCGGATACATAGAGGCCAATTTTTTAGGATCTAAATGCCATCTATAAAACATCTTATAAAAGTTTTCTCTCAAGTTTTGGGCTTGTGTAACTTTTATTCTGTTTTGAGGAGGTGCTGTTTGTATTAGAGTGAGCTGGTGCGTTTGTTGCATTGTTGAGTTGCAACCAAAGGAACAAGTTGGGGATAACAGTTGTTAAGTGAATTGTGGCATTGGTTAAGCTGATAACACGGTTGTTAAGTGAATCGGGCTTCCCCGTTGTCAAAGGGGGGTTGTGTGACCCCCCCCTCTCTGGAGGACGCTGCAATCGTCATAAATACGAGGCCAAGCATCTGAATTTTGATTGGGGGACCAAAATGGGGAGGCTGCTGTGTGTTGTAAGCATGAAAAAGGGTCATGTCACTTTTCGTAATTTTGAATGGTCGTTAAAGGAACCGTTGTAATTCGAGGACTACCTGTGTAATCCCCCCCCCTCCTTATGTTTCCAGATTTGGGCCGAGGAAGTATTCAAGCTGGCCACCAACGTCCTTGCGCAAAATGCTTCCCGAAATACTTTTTTGCAAAAAGTGTAAGTGGTTTTTCTGGCAATAATTCAGTAGAATAGAGTAGAGTAGGGAAGATAATGGAGTAGAAGAGAATTAAGAATGTGAGAAGAGAATTAAGAATGAAAAAAGAGTAGAGTAAATAATAGAAGAGAAGAGAATTAAGAATGAAAGAAGAGAATAAGTAAATAATAGAGTAGAAGAGAATAAAATTAAGGACAGGATAGGATAGAATAGAGTAAATAATAGGAGGAAAGAGAATTAAGAATGAAAGAATAGAAAAGAGTAAATAATAGAGGAGAAGAGAATTAAGAAAGAGAGAAGAGAATAAGTAAATAATAGAAGGGAATTAAGGATAGGATAGAATAAAATAGAATAGAATAAATAATAGAGAAGAGAATTAAGAATGAAAGAAGAGAATAAGTAAATAATATAGAAGAGAAGAGAATTAAGGATAGGATAGAATAGAATAGAGTAAATAATAGAGAAGAGAATTAAGAATGAAAGAATAGAGTAAATAATAAAGATAATTAAGAATGAAAGAATAAGTAAATAATAGAGTAGAAGAGAATTAAGGATAGGATAGAATAGAATAGAGTAAATAATAAAGAAGAATGAAAGAATAGAGTAGAGTAAGTAATAGAGAAGAGAATTAAGAATGAAAGAATAAGTAAATAATAGAATAGAATAGAATTAAGGATAGGATAGAATAGAATAGAATAGAATTCTTTATTGGCCAAGTGTGGTTGGAGTTGTACACACAAGAAATTTATCACCGGCGCAGAAGCTCTCAGCGTACATAAAAATTACATTCATCAAGAATGGAATAAAAACACTTAGTGATAGTCATAGGAAACTAAATAAAGCAATTCGGATAAAGGGAGGGGGGGGGATTCCTAATTCTCGAAAGCACCAGTTGACGTGACTTTGCATTGGCAAGCTGCACCCACACCGGGCCTTTGAAACAAGAAGGATCGAATCAAATTTTGATCTGGGGGGACGAGGGGGGGGCAGGGGAGAGAGAGAAAAAAAGCCCCTTTTCAGCTTATCTCTTTGACCCTGATAAGGAGCTCTGCCTTTCCTTCCTTCCTGCTCTGGGAACTGACTGTTGCAATTCTGCGGTTTGCAGCTACACCCGGCTGAAACTCCAGGTGAATCAGGATGGGAGGATCCCCGTCAAGAGGTAAGATTCCCAGATTCCTTTTGGGTTGGAGGGGGGGGGTCCGCATCTTCATTTGGGTTCTGTGGGACGGGAGAATGGGGAGGGGGAGGGCTTGAATTCTGCACTCTTGTGGGAAAGGGAAGGGAAAGAAGATAGAAGGAAAGGGGAAGGGGAAGAAAGAAGGGAAGGGAAAGAAAGGGAAACAGAAGGGGAGGGACGGGAGGGAAGACCAAAGAAGGGAAGGGAAGAAAAAAAAGGGAAGGGGGAAAAGGGAAGGGAAAAGGAAGAGAAGAGAAAAGAGAAGAAAAAGGAAGGGAAGATAAAAGAGATAAAAGGAAGGAAGGAAGGAAGGAAGGAAGGAAGGAAGGAANAGAATAGAAGGGAAGGGACGAGAACAGAATGAATAAAATAAAATAAAATAAAATAGAATAAGTAATAGAAGAGAAGAGAATAGGATTCAGAATAGGATTCAGAGTAGAGAAGTGAATACAAAATAGTATAGAATAGAATAGAGAAGAATAGAATAGCGAATAGAAGGGAAGAGAAGAAAAGAGAACATAGAACAGAATAAGGAATAGACTAGAATAGAATAAGGAATAAAAGAGAAAATAGGATTCAGAATAGAATAGAATAAAAGAGTATAACACCGAATAGAAGGAAAGGGAAGGGGAAGGAAGAGACGAGAACAGAATGAATAGAGTAGAATAAGGAAGAGAAGAGAATAAGGAATAGACTAGAATAGGATTCAGAATAGGATCCTAATCTATTCAATAGAATAGAATAGAATAGAATAGAATTATTCATTGGCCAAGTGTGATTGGACACACAAGGAATTTGTCTTTGGTGCAGATGCTCTCAGGGTACATAAAGAAAAACAAAATAGAACACGTTCCTCAAGAATAAAAAGATACACATTTAGTGATAGTCAGAGGTTACTTATAAGCTATCCACTCGTACCAGGAAGCAAATAAAACAATATAAATTTTAAAGATACAAGCACTGCGAAGGCCCTGTGAAGCGGTATATAAGTCTAAGTGCTATTGCAGCTTTAAGCTCGATATTCTTTGCACCGAATATCTGATGGGGAGAATTAATGGAAATGCAAGCAAATGGCGTGGAAGTGTGTTGTTTTCCTGCAAAGGGAAGGGTGTGCGCAAACGGATAAAACCCAGCTAATGGGTAGCCTCCAACACAATGTAATAATAACACTAATGTTTGTTGTTGCTGATTTGTTTGTGGGGTGTTTTTTTCTTTCTCTTCCTTTCTCCGTCCTTTCCTTCAATTATGTAAAAGCCAGCTTTTGAGATTTTTTTTTTACAAAAGGAGATTTCTGGCAGCAGAATTTAAAAAAGAACAACAAAACCCCAACTCTAAAATTAATATGTTCCTTGTCGCAGGGAGGGGAGGCAAGGAAGAAGGAGAGACCTCGTTACCTAGCCTAATTAACACATTTTGTGGTTCTTGTTGCTGCAGGAGAATGTGGCAGAAATGGGCCATGATGTTAATAAAGCACATTAATTGAAGAAATGTCTCTCTTTCTCCTTTTTTTTCCCCTTGCCTCTTTTCCTACCCACCCCAAAATGACAGGAAGTCGACGTTTTGGATATCAGCTACATCCGAGACACTCGCACCGGACGTTATGCCAAGCTGCCCAAGGTAAATCAGGGTTTATAGGTGGAAATGTTAAGAGGGTGTGTGGGTGAATACTCCCCAAATCTTTTTGATTCTGTGGTGACATCATAGCACCAAAATTTGAGGCTGCTTTTTCTCTACAAGTGAGGGGAGCTGAATGTCAACTCCTAAAGCATTCCTGGCCTGCTCTTGAGTTGCCCGAGGCAGGAGGGGGGGAAATTTGACGGAGCAGCTCAGCTGCCACAACCAGAAGCACATTCCACGCATAGCTTTCTCCAGATTGTATCCCAGGTTACCAGAGCCAGCCGGAGTGGCGTGGTTTCTACAGCTCGGGGAAAGTGCCCCTTGGAAAATGTGATTTATGACACTCCCTGGGAGGAGAGGGGAAACAAGGTCATACTACATGGGGCAGAGCTGACTCCACTTGGGTGCATACTGACCTGTTGTTCCTAATAAATAACTGGATTTCTTTCGAAACTTGGCTCGAGGCTCATGAATTAATTGGGGCAACTGACAGCTCCTTGACTTATAAACGTCCATTTAGTGATCATTTGACGTTACAACGGAACTAAAAAAAGTGAATTATACGTTTTTCATATGTACGTATGACCGTTCCGTGGTCACGTGATCAAAATTCGCCCCCTTACTCATATATACGATGGTTGCAATATCCAGGGATGGTGGTCATGGGATCCCCTTTTGCGTCGTTCTGACAAGCAACGAAGGAGCCACTTAACAACCACTAGGCTAACTTAAGTGTTAACGGCCGTGGCAAGAAAGGTAATTGAATGGATCAAAACACGCTTAACAAATGTCTCCCTTAAGCCACCATAGAATTGGGCTCAATTGGAGTCCTAAGCAGTGATAGAATCCTGGCGGTTTAACAACTGGTTCGGGGATCGCATACGCCGCGCACGCGCGCAGTGTTAAGAAAACTTGCCTTTTGCATTACCACTGGGGAGTAACGCAGCTGAGGTGCGGCACAGCCTGCCGCGCGAATCAGCGGAGAGGATATAGGTAAGTAAAGCGCAGATCGTCAGAGCGAACCAGTTCGCTACCCAGCTGATCGTCGGGACCACCAAACCGGGCTAAACCGGCTGAATCCCAAGTCAAGAACTATCTGTGCATTGAGCAATTCCATGAGTCTGTAGCAGCCTCCAGACGGTTCCAAGCGGTTTTCCAGAGTACAAACCAGCTTCCCTTTTTGCACACAAAGCCACGATTGGTTTAGCTGTGGGTTTTTTTTTTTTTTTGGTAAACTGTGGTTTGTTGAGTTCTTGGCCGACTGGCTCGGTCGAATCCATATTCAAAACTCTGATCCTTGGTGTGTTTTTTTGGGTGTGTGTGTGTGTGTGTGTTAGTGCAGGATGCCTCCCCTGGTTCGGAGCACTTTTCCAGAGTACCAACTGTGGTTTGTTCTGTATCAACTATGGTTTGTTTCCAGAATATAAACCATGGTTTGTTGAGCCACGGCGGACTAGCCCGTTCAATTCTGCAGGAAAAACTCTGATTTAGGGTATAAGTTTGTTGTTGTTGTTGTTGAAAGTCCATTATTTTTCTTTCTCTGTTTTGTACTTTTTAATATATAAAATGCCTGGAGTTTGTGGAGCCAGACAGCCTCTCCATTAATGAAATAAAACAAGGAAATAAAATTAAAATAATTTGATGACCAGGGTAATCGCTTAGCCTGCTGGAAAGACCCAGTCATAACATTGTCCCATCGCATTAAGCTTGGATTGGTTTTTAACTATGTTTTTCTGGGCTAGATACAGTGACTTATCGAGTTATGGATAACCTCCCCATCCGTCAATTCTCAATATTCTTGTATGGCTGTTGCTGAGAATTCTGGGAGCTGAAGTCTTCTTCTCAAGGGGGTGGACTTCAGTTCCCAGAATTCCCCAGGCAGCATGGACATCGCTGAGAAATCTGGCAGCTGAAATTCGCCACGTCTAGAGAGTAACCAGTTTAGGGAAAGCTAAATGCGCACAATTTCAGGTTGTAAATCCATAATGAAAATGAACATATTGGTTGGGGGATTCTGGGAGTTGAAGTCCACACATCTTAAAGCATGCTGGCTGGGGGATTCTGGGAGTTGAAGTCCACCCATCTTAAAGCATGGTGGCTGGGGGATTCTGGGAGTTGAAGTCCACCTATCTTAAAGCATGCAGACTGGGGAATTCTGGGAGTTGAAGTCCACCCATCTTAAAGCATGCTGGCTGGGGGATTCTGGGAGTTGACGTCCACCCATCTTAAAGCATACAGTTGGGGGATTCTGGGAGTTGAAATCCATCCATCTTAAAGAATGCGGGCTGGGGGATTCTGGGAGTTGAAGTCCACTCATCTTAAAGCATGCTGGATGGGGGATTCTGGGAGTTGAAGTCCACCCATCTTAAAGCATGCTGGATGGGGGATTCTGGGAGTTGAAGTCCACCCATCTTAAAGCATGCTGGATGGGGGATTCTGGGAGTTGAAGTCCACCCATCTTAAAGCATGCTGGCTGGGGGATTCTGGGAGTTGAAGTTCACCCATCTTAAAGCATGCTGGCTG